CAGGAGGGGGATCCTTACCCCGGTGCCGTCCCTGGCAGCGCAAGGGGGGGGACAGTTCCACTCGCCCCGACAGCACGGGGGGGGTGGGGGGGGGGGGGTCCTCCCGCTAAGTCCGTCGCATCTTTCCAGACCGCCCACCGCCCTTCCCGCCCCTTCCTGTCCAGCTGTTCCTGTCCCCTTCTCGTCTTCCGCAGGCGAGCTCTCCCTCGAGGCGGGCAAGCCGGTCGGCCCCTACTACGCCCTCCACCACTCCGACGACGACGAGCTCATGCACGTCGCCTTCACACTTGGGGACGCCGCGCTGGCGCACCCCACAGACCCCACGGCAGGCGCCGCCACGGCCAGCGCAGCTGCTTCGGACGACGCCGTGCGCACCGCCGGAGCCGAAGGCGACGAGGGAGGGCGGGGCGGGAGGGGCGGAGGCGGCCGCCGCGGGCGCGGGCGCAGGGCGAGGAGCGGCGCGCACAGACGCAGATAATCCCTGCCCGCGCACCACGCCGCACGCGAGACTCGCGACGCGCCGGCGGCCGGACGAGCGCGAAGGCGTGTTCTCGGTTCACTCTTTTTCTCAAGGGCAGCACGACCAGCGCGCGCAGCGGCGGGGGCACAGCCAGGACAACGAGAAGCGAAACAATAATTCAAGACACCAGAGCAAGACTTGTGAAGCATTGTGTGGCGTGTGGGAAAAACGATAAACGTAAAATCGCGCGCGCGACTCCCCGCGGACGGCGGACCCGCGCCGGCAATGACGGCCGACGCTACTGCGCGTGCCTGCTCCGGTGACACCTCCTAACCTAGTTCCCTCGTGGTGCTCACGACGGCCGTCAGGGGTGCACACGCAATGCCGCCGTTGCGGTAGAGCCCCATCCTCGCGATCATCCGTTGCATGCACAATGCATGAGAACCTTCTCATCTCATGTGTAAAATCTCTCTCGGCATGGTTGGGGCGCGCGTGTCATGCGCATCGCGCCGCCCCGCCAGAACAATCAGAGTGGAAGCAGCCTGCCCGCTCAGGGCCGACAAGGCCCGAGGGTGGCTGTGATGCTTGCTGTGGCTTCGGGGCCGGTCAGAAGAAGCATGAGACGCCGCACGTGGCGTCACCGCTGAGGGGCGAGAAATAGGCGCCGTTCAGCCGCTGCTCACGCCGCTGCTGCTCACCGGCGAGGGGATGTGCCGCTGCCAGCGCGCCCCCCTGTCGCGCTTCGGCTGACGTCTTCGGCTGAGGCTCAAGCGACGCATAGACACAGTCGGGCGAGGGGCCGCGCTGCTTCGGGTCCGACGGGTCCATCGCATCTGCACTCCCCCACACGGAGACGAAATGGTCCAGGAGCGTGTGCATGACTTCGAAAAGCCGATTCTGGTGGGCAAGATGCGGTTGGTGAGGGGCAAGCGGCGAGCGGGGAGGCGGGGAGGTTTGGGGGCGGGTGGAGGGGTACCAGCTCCAGGTCACACACTCGCGTCAGGGTGGCGGTGTGGTTGGCCTCGGCCTCGGCGTCGCCGAGCTGGTGCCATGCCATCATTACGGTGGCTGCGGCGACGGCCACCGGACTGTACTGCAGTAGTCGCGCCTGCGCCGACGGATGCGGGGATATGAGCAGTTGGGCGAGGCGCGCTGGCTCAGACGGCGCGGTAGCGGGCCGGCGGGCGGGGAGGCGTAGGCGGCAGGCTTGCGGCGCGATTGAGTTGTGACACCAGATACTCTGTATCCGCCGCGGGGCGCGGCGTTGGCGGCGTGGGTTGGTGGCGCGGAGGCAGGCCGGCGTGGGGTGGAGGTGCGCGGCTGACGATGGGGGCGGGGGGCGACGCGCCTCATAGCACGCCATGTCTGCGAGGAGGTCTGCGCGCGTCCGCGTCGCCTCCGATGCGGCGACGATCTCCAGGATCTGCTCGACAAAGACGTGGTGCGTTGGCACGTGCAGGTCCCACCCAAGCGCGTCGCACACCGCCCGCTCCGTTGCCTTGAGGCTCTGCGGGTCCTCCAGTCGACATAGCAGGCAGAGCTGCGCCACGCTCGGTGCACACACCTGGCAGCGAGGGCGGGCAGTTAGTCGGTGAGGCTGCATTGTCGGCAGCAGGAACGCTCCGGGCGAGCCGGCCGGCGGCGGGGGCGGCGGGGTGCGCTGCTGGGAGCTAGGTGGCGGTCTTGTGGGAGCAACGGTGGCTGTGTGCTCGTTGCCTCCAGAAACTTGGAGGCGAGGATGAGGCAGGCAGCGGCGACGGCTGCGGTGCCGAATCTCCAGAGCTCGTCGGCGTGCTGCTCGAGAGCGCACAGCCGGTCAAAGAACGAGACGGCGGCGGCGGAGGTACGGGGCTGCAGCTGGAATGACTCACAGGTCTGCACGGCACGGGAATTTGCGCGGGTCGGCGGGGCTCTGGGGGCGGGGGAGCGGGGGCGGGGAGGGGGGGCGTGTGGCGCTGCAGTGGGCGAATGCGCGGCGCGGTGGTCAAGCGGGGCGGGAGGGGCGTTGCCTCGGCGATGAAGGCCACCACCTCCTGCCGGTCCTCGTCCGGAAGCGGTTGGCTGCGTGCCGTCCGAGAGGTGCGAGGCTGTGAGGCCTTGGCGTGGCAGAGCAGGTCGTTGGCGCGTCGCCGCTTGGCGTCGCCGTTGCAGGGCCGCGACATCACGCGCAGCCGAGCGGTGCTGCTGATCGCCGCCGCGACTCCCGCGAACGCGACTATGGCACGCGAAAATGCTCCGCTTCGTTTCGGCTATCGGCAGGCCCGAGAGGATACACTCAATTGCAGCGTAATCTGCAAGTCTGCTCGGGCCGGCCGCTCGGAGAATCGCCGAAGAATCGCCGAACAGGCTGTCAGCGTGCGGTCCTGTTAGACGTTGCCAATGCGGCGCATGCACAGTGCTGATAGATAGCTGGTTGAGGACGCGGAGACTTGGAACGTCGACGCCTACTTTGGGCGCTGCATGTTGCCGCTGGGGCTTGGGGGGGCCAAATAGCCGAGCGGGAAAGGTGCCTGCAAGGATCCCCAAAGGCCTGGGGTCGAATCTGGCCCGAAGGAATCCTAAAAGGGGGCCCTAATGGGGGCCTATGCGGCCCAAAAAGGCACCTGTGAAGAGAAGCCCCCCTACCTAAGGATGTGGATGAACAACCTACCCCCATCAAGGAGCTTCGTTCCCTCAAGCACTTGGAGTCAAGGACCCCCCTTTCTTTTGGGCCAGTTTAAGCCCATCCTGGCGTCTAGCAACCCCAGAATTTTTGAGGTATATTAAGGGAACGGTTTCCCACCCTTCAGTGCACATACATGCATTGGTCTGAGAGCGGCTGCATCCGGCCTCACATGCCCGCCTCGTTGAGCGCGTCGACGCGACGTTGCCCGCCTAGCACTGACAGCACCTGACAGCTGGTCTGACAGAGGCACCTGACAGTGCCTGACAGTGCCTGACAGCCTGACAGATCACCTGACAGCACCTGACAGCCTGACAGCCAGGGCTCAGCCCTTGGCCGAGGCCTTGCTCGATGGGAAATCGGTCGCTCAGTCCATAGCCCGTCTCGTATCTACCTTGGAGGGAGGGTAGCTCCTCCCCAAGTCCTTCCCTTAGCGCCCTCATCACAGCTGCCACGTCGGGCGGTACCCCTGCCCATTGTTCCACCTTCCATTGCACTTCGTGTACTACACTCATAAAGTAGGTCCCGAGATCGATGTATCCTTTCCCCTCACGCACATCTTTCTCTCTATCATGCACTCTTCTGCGTGCAGGCGCGCGGTGAGCGTCTGCGCTGGCGCGTTCTTCCCGGCTGTGAAGCCGCATTGCGAGCCGGGGACTACTCTCGCGCACGCTCTGACATTCTCGACATTCTCGACAATCTCGACATTCTCGACTGCTTGACGCACGCGACGCGCGCGGCGCCAGTCGTTTTGCTCGCCGGGCGGCCCACACGCCGTCGCGTCTCGCGCTTCCTCGCGTGCTCGGGCCTCGGCGGGCAGCAGTTCGTCTGGTGCTCTGCTTCCTAGTCGCTAAATGTGCTGCTGTTTGGCGCATTGTGTCAGGGCTACTGGCATGCGGAGCTGGGGTCAACGCCCGACTCAGCTCGCTGCCGATCTCTACTACTACCCCCCGCGTGGCGTGCACGGGGGGCGTCGGGTATCCCGTGTGCCCGGCGGGCGGGGCGCGCACCATGCTGCTTGAGGGTGATCGACGGGCGCTCGTGGTCACAGTGCCGCTGTTCAGTGTGTGCGAGGGGGAGCTGCCTTGTAAAATTCTTTTCTTGCACAACACTGGGCACGGGACTGGCGAATAAATAAATAAAACGGGCACGCCAAACGAGGGGTGGGAGAAGGACAGGGTCCCGGGACTGGCGCGCACTGGCACTCAGGCAGAACATTCTTTCCGGTGATAGTACTAGCACGCGCCAGTTCGCACCTGTGTCGAGCCTAAAGAAAGAAAGAAAGAAAACACACAACCCAAGGGAGGGATGGGAGAACGGCACGCCGCCACCACACAGGGATTTTAAGGAGAGGAGTGTGATAATAAATAAATAAATAAAACGGGCACGCCAAACGAGGGGTGGGAGAGAGACAGGGTCCCCACCTGCACGAGCAGGATCTTGGAAGGACGATCAGGGACACAGGGGAACGGGAGCGGGGAGCGCATCGCGACAGTGTGATGTCTGCTGTGAGAGGGCGCCTGCAAATTCTTTTCTTTCGTCGCGCCGGCGAAGCCGACACATGGGGCCAATGAGAAGCCTGTTTGTTGCGCTGTCTGTGGTCTGCCTAACCGGCGCGGCTCCGCTGGCCCCGGCCGCTGCTCGCCCCGCCCTCCGCCTGCGCGGCGGCGGAAACAGCGGCGGCGGCGGCGGCGGCGGAAGCGCAACACTCGTCGCCGCGCGTGGTGGCAAGCGCGCTGCTGCTGCAGAGGAGGAGGCGACTGCTCGCGGCGTGGCGGGGCTGGTGGGAGGGATCCTGATCCACCTCGCGTGCGGCTCCATGTACACCTGGGGCAACCTCGTCTCGTACGCGCCCCCGCACCTCAAGTACTGGGCGGGCGCTGTGGGCTCCGGCCCCGCAGACGCGCAGCTTGTTCTGCCTCTGATCCTGGTATCGCAGATGACGGGGATGCCGCTGGGGCCGCTGCTCGAGAAGAAGCTTGGTCCCACCCTCACCGCCCTCCTCGGCGCCCTCATGATGGGGATCGGAGTCATGGCTGCCGCCACTGCGCCGAGCCTCGCCTCGTTTTGCGTCTGCTATGCAGTCGTGTTTGGGCTGGGGGTTGGGGTCGCGTACCAGATGCCGATCATCGCCGGCGGGCGGTGGTTTCCCGCCAAGAAGGGCGTCGTCACCGGCTCCGTCGTCACCGGCATGGGCGAGCGACACGCAGCCCTCCCCCTCCGCCTCCTCTCCCGCCTCCCCCCGCCTCCTCGCCTTCCCTCGCCTTCTCCGCCTCGCCTCGCCTTCTCCCCTCCTCCCTCCCCTCCCGCCACCCCCTCCGCTCCCGCCCTCCGAGCTGACGCGACACGGGACGCGAGACGACCGAGAGACGCGAGGTGTCCGGCG